AGGCAGATGACAACTTCTTCCAGGTAGCTTTCCATATATATGAACCCCACGGAAACAGGTTCCATGCATTTAGGTCCTCTACCAATAATATTAGGTCATCGGAGATTGATTGTCTGCCCTCTTTGCCTAAAAAGCCGGCATGCAAAAGTAGTAAATGGCATACTCGAACAACATCAAGGTCATCCATCCGAGTAAAACCATCTTTATCAAATAATCTCTTCAAGTCGTCGACATGTATACTCGGCTTCGACTTTGCCAGCTCAGGAAAAACCCGATATAACCATGATGGGCGGCCGATATGACTAGTGTACCGACCTACATCATCGTGTCCGAAGCGTAGACCGGTGATTAAGCAAAACTCCTCCCACCCAAAACAAGTATACGCCAGTGCCGGAGGAAAATGAAACCATATCTCTTATTCACCACGTTGTACCCCCTCTGGTAGATCGTTAGTCATGGTCTGAAGAAACAAATGTGTCAATATAGCATCTCCACCCAGATGTTGTACTTTCAGCCATGGCCCGAAGTAAGTATCCTCAAATAATTTTCTTTGTAGAGGTGTAAGCGTCGACGCAATTTTAGTGGCTATGCTTAATTTATTCCTTAAGGTCAATTGAGCCGAAAAAAATTTCTACAAAAACAATAAACATACCAAGTTAGATATACCAAAAACTACAAATTATACACTACAAACAGACATGATATTAAACAGTGAAAACAAAGCCAAATATGTTTCAAACTAGCACGGTATTCACCCAAGTCATTATTCCATCATAGTTCACAAAATGCATCAGATAACATTCCAGAAGTAAGCACTTATATAAACATTTAAAAGGACAACATATAGGTTTAGTGCAGGTTTAAGGACAACATAAAGAGTAGTAGTTTATTCTTGAAACTTAAATTAGCAACACTGTGAAGTTAGTATTTGTCTTTATTTTTTGGTTGAAGTAATGCAATTCATTCAAGTTTCAATTTGCAGAATAAAAGAAGTTTCTGAAACTTAAATTCGCAACGCGAAAATGAAAATCGCAACGCGATTTTAGTTTCGCGTTGCGAATTTGGTGTTGCGATTTAGGGTTTCTTCAACAAAAAGACAAAACAAAGATAAATACTAACTTCACAGGGTTAATGACTAAACAGTTTAGCAGTATTAGCAGCAACCGAATGAATTTAACAATCTCAGTGAAATGGTTAATCTAATAATAATACAAAAATTTCAAAATAAAAATAAGAGATTAAAAAACTAACCCTCGGTGGTTGATTTTCCATTTCTGATCGTGAATGGTTGTGAGGGTTGATCTGAGAGATGGAGATAGACGGATTTCATCGGAAATAGGGATGGATTTCGTCAGAGATGGGGACGGATGTCACCGTAGAGAGTGAGAGATGGAGATGGGACTGAGTTGTGCTTTAGGGTTTTAGGTTAGAGATGATTTGCGATAATACTGTTTACATTTGTGTTGCGAAATTAATATTGTGTTTCGCGTAAAAATATTTGACTTTCGCATTGCGATTTACATATTCGCGTTGCGAAATTGGAAACTGGGTTACGAAATTGGAATTCGTGTTGCGAATTTGTTGGTCATTTTGGCAAATCCAAAAAAGTTGATTAAATTCGTATGTTATAAGGCATTTTTTGTCACTGAGGTTATTTTCTCTTTTATTTATTGTAAAAAGCTTCCATCAATTTTTTAATTGTCAATTCATCACTCTTATCTATTTTATTCGTTCAATTGACTCAACAATATTAGTACCTCTCATGGCTTTGTTCTAAATCCAAGAAATTGGACATGGTTCTCAATACCGAATATAGAGTATCAACTACATATGATAGATATCATTAACCTACTTTATGTAACAATAATCATGTCCTATTTCACATATTAACCCTTCAACTTGCTCTACTTTTCAACTTGATACTTCATACTTTAATCTAGTACATTTAAAATGTATCGCATTAGATCCGGCGCAGACGTTACGACCAAATCTAATCAATCACATAACATATCCCGAAAAATCTTTCATATTTTAAAACATACTAAAAATCAATTATAGTAAATAAAAATGCATATAATGGTATATTACGAAAATATCAAACAAGTGAACTTCATACGATAAGCATAAAAAAATTCTAACATTTAAAACCATATAAGAACATGTCCATAATAAAAATACTGGTAATACATATATACAAAGACAATAGTAAAAGTTGTGTCATCAAAATATAACAAAAGGGATATAGAGATATACAGTGATATAAAAAAGAGAAATGGTCAGTCCTCCTGATGCCAAGTCTACTAGCCTACTGTCTGGTAATATTTGAATATGTTAAAAATTTAAAGAGTGGGCTAAAACGCCCAATGTTCTCCTTGCGTTTTATACAAAAAAATACATATAAGATACTTTGATAAAAATTAATTTATAAAACATGCTTTTAAAAAAACATGAATACTACCTCCATTGTAACACCAGAATGTGTAGGTTCCCTGAACCATACACCTACCTGTACATCCAGTAAGGACTTCATACTTGTAGCATAAGGACTTGCATAAGGACTTACCATGTGCACAAAGCAGAGGAGCCTACATTAAAGTCTTACAAGTCATAAACTAAGCTTAAGATACTTCCTCCGATAACACCCCAAATGACATGCATGTATTTAAGTGAAAACAAAAGTTAAATTCATCAAAACATGAAATCATTCCATGATTTAAAATTAGTTTAAGAAAATACGATAACCAGAGGTCATGCCATAAATATACTGTAAATCAGTAGTCCAATCAATGGTATATAATAAATCAGAAATCATGCCATTTAAAATATTCAGCATCACCAAAAGTCCAGAGCAATTTAGATAAATCAATCAAAACAATAATGTAACACCATAAGGAAAACACCTGTAGGTTTGAGAAGTAGGTTTGAGAAGTCTGACAAAGCAGCCTACTATTAGGTTTGCCTATCACAATCAACGAAAAGTGCTAGATCCTAAGAATCAGGAAAAAATATATCACTACCCTAACATAAAAAAATTATAAACCTTATTTAAAAATTTTACGGACCTACGGGTAAATCTCAAAGTACGTAAATCATACAAATATGTTTGAAAAAAACGTCGGATCTTGTCGATCCTTGATTAGGGAAAACACGAGTACCTTTATAAAAATATATTCCTAAATTAATTCCATATTCAAAACCAATAATCATGTAAAAATACTAAAAATATTAATACATTTTTGGGTTAACGGGCTTATTTCAGAGACTTTGGGGTTAAAATTTGGTGAACTAGATTGTAAAGGTCAATAAAATGTTGAAATGAAGGTTTAAAAAAAAGTCAATATCGGTCAACGACCAAACTCAACTCCACTCAATACCGATTAACGACGATCAACAACAATCAACAATAAATGTCCGATCAAATACTCGACTCAGTTTAGTTCAACTCTGCTCGGCTCGATTCAATTCGATTCAGTCTGATTCGATTGGACCAGTTTGGTCTTGTTTGGTTGGATCGATTCAATCTAGTTGGATGGGGTTAAACCAAGTCAGGGAATGAACATGGGTCGGATCATAATACGAGACAGTTTGACCCAATTCCAAAAAAATTCCTCCAGACAACGGAGAAGCCCACGCGCAAGGACGGCGCGTGAGGGTGCTTGCGACGGTTTGAGGTGTCAAAAAATTTGAAAAAAGTTCTAAAATTCATAAAATGAGGTTTTAAGTCACTTAACAAGTTCTGTTCACGACGGTGAATGGCAGAGAGCTCAATTTCACAACGTTAGAAACTTGTTCCTCCTCACCCCTTCACACGCCAACGACAAAGTGGACACCGATGAACTCGAAATTTCACTAGGAAAACGATGGTATGAGCGGTAAGATAAACGAAACTATGATTGACGACGAAACAAAGTTTGAAGCTTCCCTAGAAGAGATAAAAGAGGAAATATGGAGAGAGAGAAAAAAGCTTTGAGATTATATTTTGGGAAGTTTTTAGGAAGATGGAGGGGTTTTAAACTCTCTCATCTGAAAATTAATAAAATTATATTTCAGGTTCTCTAGTCTTTTTTTATTTACGAATTTGTTTGAAATTTAATTAAAAATCCAAGTTAATCCTTAAAATTAAAAATTAAAAAATTAACCCCTAAATTAGGGTGGGACATAAACCCTACGACCTTCACGACTTATCATAAGGGTGTGACATAAACCCTACGACCTTCATGACTCTCTTATGATATTAATATTAACATTGATATAAAACTTGTAACCCATCATTTAAAGGTTTAGATTGTCATCTCTTGATGATTAATGATACCGGTTGATCATCTACATTTTGGGCATTACAAATAACACCTCTATCAATGGACAACACCTCATGACGTTGGAAAATACCTCACAAATTTTAATGGAAGACCTAACCTCTCAAGTAATGTTACTTTATACTCTCTATTTTGAATAGGGCCAACTGTTATATTAACATCTTACGACCTCCATATCTCAATTGGGTAACAAAGTAATTATAGGGACACGTTGACTTTTTTTCTAAAAGTTCGAAAGATAAAATAACCATTAAATTTAAAGAATATATATATATTAATTTATAATATTATATTTAAATTTATCATTTAATTTCTCAAAAATATATTTCCACAATAATAATAAACAATTAAATTTTAAATCAACTATTTAATAATTCTAGAATCATATTGCTTTTTTTTCTTCAGAAATTCAGAAAAAAACACCCTCAAGCAAAAATTTAAATTTAAATATTAATTTATAACATCATCACTAAAATTATAATTTCCCTTCTCAAAAATATATTTAAATAATTGAATTTTAAATCAATTTTTTTGTAAATATTATCTACACTAATTTTTCTTAAATTGTAGGCCTAAATTAGGTTTAGGCCCTAGATAGAAGCAATCAAACGGCGTCGCTTCGCGATCTGTTTGTGCAATTTATTCCTAGGGAAGAAGGTAGTAGAAAGTGACGCCAATAATTAATTAAATTACAAATATCTTTATCATCCTCCAGAATCTTCTCGAGCAATATTCTCTACAAGCCTTCTTCTTCCTTCACCCTTACACGCACTCTCGCTTCCTCTGCTCCTCGCTTCTCTATCCGATCAATGGCTGACTCTGCTTTCAAGAATTCAGAGCGATGACACTGTCAGTTCAACTTCTCCTTTCCTCTTCGTTTTAACAGTTTATAAATCAGGAATTTCTTTTTTATATGATTTTAATAGTTGGGTATTTTGTATCTTTGCTGAAATGTTAGTAATTAGTTTTATGAGATGTTGGGTTGAGAATTTAAGACTGAAATTGATTTTTTTTACGTGACTAACGAAAATGGATGATTCATATACATCGATTAATCATGTTATAAATATCATTGATTTCCATTTTGTGATGATTTTGGTAGTTGGCTACTATGTTGCACGGGTACGGCAACTCAAGCCGTTTCAAGTACCCAATACGTTATCGATATGTGTACGAGACGAGTACAATTTGGGTATGTACCGCGAACGTCCCATGTTGAAGGGGCACAATCAGAATTGGTTGGGTTGGTCGGAGATTCTGAGGTTGTATTGGGAATGATGATTGATCTTCACGGACATACCCAAGGTTATTTTTGAGATTTAATTTTAACAAATAAAAAAAAACGATGATTTTGAATAAGAAATTAAATTGATTTTGAAGCTTGGAACACCTCAATCAAACATAGGAAACTCAACATATGTATATTTTAATGAAGATAAGAAAACTGGATACCAGTCTAATATGGGATTTATAGTAATTATGAATTTTAAAATTTATTTATATTTATCGTATCCTTACCGTTTCACGTCCCCGTATCTGTCCCTGTATCCGTATCAATGCAACATAGGTTGGCTATTTAATATCCCTGCTGAAATGATAGTGAGTGAATTTCGTTTTTAATATCGTCTAATCTTTTTACTGTCACCGGTGGTTTTAGCTATTTGTTGAGTTTCAGTCGATAATATTGTATTTTTGTTATTTCATTTTTCAACAATCCAAAACAGAGCCAAGTTTTATTTGGTTTATATCATCCTTCATTTATTTATTTTAAATGCTCTGATCAGACATTTGATGCATATGTGGTTGGCAAATAAGATGCATCTGGAATTGTTGTTATTCAGGAGTGGTGGGGTGTTGATTTTGAGATAAAAAATCATGCCCTGAAGATCTCTCAACTGGCTTCAGGTTTCAAAGCTCTAAAATTTCATTCTCCAGTTCTTTTATTTGTGTACACACACACACACACACGTATATTCTTTTCTCTCAATTACCATAAACTTGGCGTTTGCAGAATCTGAATGCTAATTCATTTAAAATTCCTCGACTTCAGTTTGTATCGAGGAAAGGTTGGTCTGGATGTTGCTGAAGCTCAACACCTAATGGACGGTCTTGATTGGCAAGGTGCTGTAAAGGATATCCGTGCTTCAGTTAACTGGCTTAAAGCTAATGGCTCAAAGAAGTTCTGTACTGGTTCTTTATCGTCTTTCTGGTTAAAGCCATATGCTTACTCAAAACATTTTTTATGTTTATACACTTCCTTTTATTGTCTGTTCTGCTAACTTATTTGACTGAGATAAGCATATGATGCATATGTGGTTGGCAAATAAGATGCATCTGGAATTGTTGTTCTTCAGGAGTGGTGGGGTGTTGATTTTGAGATAAAAAATCATGCCCTGAAGATCTCTCAACTGGCTTCAGGTTTCAAAGCTCTAAAATTTCATTCTCCAGTTCTTTTATTTTTGTGTATACACACACACACACACACACACGTATATTCTTTTCTCTCAATTACCATAAACTTGGCGTTTGCAGAATTTGAATGCTAATTCATTTAAAATTTCTCGACTTCAGTTTGTATCAAGGAAAGGTTGGTCTGGATGTTGCTGAAGCTCAACACCTAATGGACGGTCTTGATTGGTAAGGTTCTGTACTGGTTCTTTATCGTCTTTCTGGTTAAAGCCATATGCTTACTCAAAACATTTTTTATGTTTATACACTTCATTTTATTGTCTTTTCTGCTAACTTATTTGACTGAGATAAGCATATGATGCATAAGTGGTTGGCAAATAAGATGCATCTGGAATTGTTGTTCTTCAGGAGTGGTGGGGTGTTGATTTTGAGATAAAAAATCATGCCCTGAAGATCTCTCAACTGGCTTCAGGCTTCAAAGCTCTAAAATTTCATTCTCCAGTTCTTTTATTTGTGTACACACACACACACACGTATATTCTTTTCTCTCAATTACCATAAACTTGGCGTTTGCAGAATTTGAATGCTAATTCATTTAAAATTTCTCGACTTCAGTTTGTATCAAGGAAAGGTTGGTCTGGATGTTGCTGAAGCTCAACACCTAATGGACGGTCTTGATTGGCAAGGTGCTGTAAAGGATATCTGTGCTTCAGTTAACTGGCTTAAAGCTAATGGCTCAAAGAAGTTCTGTACTGGTTCTTTATCGTCTTTCTGGTTAAAGCAATATGCTTACTCAAAACATTTTTTATGTTTATACACTTCCTTTTATTGTCTGTTCTGCTAACTTATTTGACTGAGATAAGTTGAAACAGATATATGAAGCTGATTCATATTTAGTATTTTTCTTTTGTGTGGATGGCTTAGTGGATGGAGAATCTGAGAGAATATAAAATAGTAATGGGTTCATCCTTTTTTTTATAAAGTGATTTAAGAGATAAATTTTGCTGATTCCTTTCTTATCTTTAAAAGTATCGAGTACAGTGGATTGATGATTTCATATTTTCTGTTAGCCAATTATTTCCTTACCATTTTTGTTAAATCCGACAATATAATTTCATTTCTTTTATCTCCAATGTTCTAGTCATTACTTTTTAATTGTTATTTCCTGTCTCTTCATGTTCTCCTCTAAGTTTAACTTACAAAGTTAAGATTCTCCTATGAAATTTTAAGTATTTTTTTCTTGAATATGCATAATAACATGGAGCTACCTTTTTCCTTAACAACTCAATCAATCTGTTTCTTAAACTATAGCGGGACATTAAAAATTACTATTTCTGTTTCTTAAACTAAGTTTTGGGTGAAGTTTAAAATTTGATCAGTGAGCAATCTCTGATTTGAGATTTCATTGCATTGAAACAGGCTGGAGTAACTGGGTTCTGCATGGGGGGTGCTCTCTCTATTGCAAGTTCTGTTTTAGTGCCTGAAGTCGATGCTGTTGTTGCCTTCTATGGGGTTCCTTCATCTGAACTTGCAGACCCTGTACAGGCCAAGCCTCCTGTTCAATCTCATTTCGGAGAACTTGATAACTTTGTCGGGTTTTCAGATGTGACGGTACGACAACTTTTTGAATTAGTTTCCCCACAAAAGTAGGTGAGAGAAGGTCCCGCTTCTTTCTAGAGCCCAGGCCTTTTAGAATTATTTCCCCACCGTCATTCATCCGTTGCCCGCTGTCGTCGACTGCCGTCAGCCGCCACCGTCAGTCGTTCGTTCGTTGCCGTCAGCCATCCGTCGTCGTCCGTCGCCATACTCCAGCCATCGTTTGAATCTATTTTTTCATGGGAAGATTGCCGGCCCACGATGATTCCAAATCTGGCCTTAGATTTGCGTTTGAGCCTTTTAAACGACGCAGATCTTTGTGAAGTTCTTCGTCATTTTTTGCCACTTCCCACCGCTCGTGGTCGCCTTCGCCTCACCACCAGACTCAGCTTCTTCTCGCGACCTAAACTCCCTTTCCATAGTGTCGACAGTCGATTCTTTTCCGTTGAACGGGTTCGGCAAGAATTTTCCCTATCCTCCAACTTTATGTTTTTTACAGTTCTCCTCTGTCCAGCTACTCAGTTCTCACAATAGAACCCAAAGGCCGTCTCAACACAGGAGAACTAGTGGGCTTGCTGCAACAGCCGCGGCAGGTGCAGCCTCTGTCAACCGTATTAGTTCTTCCTCTGGACCCGACAACGCGACCACATTTTCCTACTCCAGCAAGGAAAAACGAGAGAGGGAGAATGAGAAGGAGAAGACAAAGTATCGGAAAAGGAACATGAGAGCCTTCACCAGTCGTATGCTGGCCGGTTTGAGGCAATATGAAAATTTCCATCTTTCCTCGTGTTCTAACATGAACAATGTTCTGGATGCCTTGGCCCGTGAGTTAGGTTGGATAGTTGAGGCCGACGGCACTACTTACAGGCAGTCTCCTATGCCCCAAAATCAGTAAATTTTAAGAGGTAATTCTTCGAGGTCGGGTGAAAGTCCTTTTTCATCCAGGTGTTTGGAAAATTGCTCAGCTAAAGCATCTTTAGACTGTCAACCACCTGCTGTAAGGATTGGCGTAAATGGAAGATCTCTTTCACAAGGTGTGAATTTTAGGACTGAGATGTTTCCTTCAGCAGAGGCAAAACTAGCCCGTTCTGAAGCTGATGTTGATCACCATGGAATAAAAGAGATCACCATGAAGGGGTACTCCAATGAAAAATCTTCTGAAGTAGCGAGATGGAGAAGAAATGGTTATCAAAATTGGTAGAAGGAAGGTCATACAAACGGTAGTAATGGGTGTAGAAGTGGATGCATCTCGTTATTCATTGAGAACCTACCGGAGAAGATCCATTGGAAAAGACTTGGATCTTTATTTAGCACTTACGGTCATGTTATTGATGCATTCATTCCTAACAAAAGGAATTCGAAAAGGGGTCGCTTTGGGTTCATTCGCTTTGCAGCTATTGAAGAAGCAAGGAAAGCGATATCAAGCATGATTGGCGTTTATATTTACGACAGCAGAATTATAGTCTCTTTGGCTAAATATAAACCCCGACAATCTTACTGGCGAAAGTCCTCGAAGGTTGTTCAATGTAAGTGTGGGATGGAAGAGGTTCCGAGGATTAAACAATGTGAAGTTGAGGGAGTTGTGGATGAAGAGAAACTTCACGTGTTAAGTAGTTGTCTTGTGGGATGGTGCAAGAACTTTATCAAGATTGGTAATCTTGCTAACCAAATACAAGCCAAAGGACTAGCGGGTTTCACGCTTATTAGAGTTGATGAAAATGTAGTTCTAATGGTTTTTGAAGATTATAATTCGTTGAGAAGCGTGAAGGATGATAAGTTAGAGACTCTTGCAGAATGGTTTTCCAGAGTGGAAACTTGGTCTGAGAGCTTTGTGGTGGAGAGCCGACGCGTTTGGCTAGTTTGCGAAGGTATTCCTTTTCACGCTTGGAATTGGGATACTTTCAAAAACATAGCTACTAAGTGAACAAGTTAATAGCAATTGATAACAGTTGTGAGTTCCCTTCGTTTTTTGATCGGGCGAAAATCCAAATACTCACAAATGCTCAAGGGAGAATTAATGAGTTGTTTGAGTTGAAGGTCGGAGATCATTTATTCAAAATCTTGGTGCATGAAATTAATCCTTCATTCAAACCTAATTCTTGGGTTCCTGAAGATAGCGATATTTCTCTAGAACTTGATCCTCCAATTGGATTGTGATTGTTCGACAGCTATATTCAGAGGTATTTTTAAGTTTGTGGTTGTAATTGTTGGTTTTTTTTACTATGTTATCTTACATCTTGAGGTGTATTCTACAAATGGGGTTATTGTTTTAGGGGTTTTTTGTTTGACGATGTAAGATTTCTAGGTGATATAGTTTGTATTGGTGTTTATTCCCGTATGTGGGTTTGGTGATTCCTCATGTACTTGGTATTCTATTTAATAAAATATGATGTATTATTTTCTCCCTTCCAATGTTCTTCAACATACTTCTAAGTATGTGGAAGAATATGAAGGGAGTTTTTAATGACAACTCCAAATTCTATAAAAAAAAAAATTAATCATTTGTCGCCAATCATGTCCTGAAACTAATTTTATGTTTCTCACCAAGTATTTGAAGTTTTTACATTATAAATGCCCCATTGTCGCCTTCATTTTTTATTGCTTTCTGGAATAAAATATTTCAGCCACCTTGCAGGCCATAATAACTGTTTAGCTGCAAATCTTTGTAGAAATGCCAGCAATGATTTGTCAAATACTTTAAGACCCAATACGATCATGAGAAAATGGCCAGGGAACCTAGCACAGTTGCTACTTCATTTAGCTTAAAAAAACTTAGCTGCATATAAACCATGGGTAATGGTTGATGGAAAAAATGAAGAAAATGGACTCTTCTGAGCCACAGGAGATGGTCCATTCTTTAATTTATCTTTGATTTTATGGTTGGTTGTGAGATAATGCAAGTACCGTTATTTATTTGCTGATAGAATGATCAGAGTACTGAAACTTTGTTAGGTCGGTCTATTTGCCTTTTCTATTCTGTTTTATCAAGCATTTGCAGTGTAGTTCCTATGAGTTATAAAGCAACTGGTAGAAAATGCAGTTAAACTATAAAGTGATTTTATTGGTCGAATTATTGCTAGGTCCGGCTCTGGATATTTTTTTGGCTCGGGGCGAAATAAAAGAAATGACCCCTAATTTTAAAAATTATAAAAAATATATAATATAAAATTGATATTAATTTTTTATTAAAATAAACAAATAGTAATTAATTATCATCTCAAAAATGTCAAAAAAATAAATAAATAAAGCACACAAAAATTTATATAAAACATTGTCTTCGAGTATTTTTTAATACAAAATCATAGCGACAACATCAATATTTTTCAACATTTTTTTCATTACATAACCTAAGTAGCATCGACTGCCCCATGGAATTTCTGATATTTTTCAATCACAAACAGAACATAAGCCAGTATAGTTTTGTCCCACTGTATATACCTAAAAAGCATCGAAATGTAACATTGGGACCCAAGATATAACCAAAGGCGCACAGTATTTGAGTTCAGGTTGAAGAAACCACCTACCACCGTCCACCAACCCTTTATAATAATAAAGAAAAAACAACTCCAAGATGCAAAATATGGCCCCGAAGCTTCACTTTGTAAATTGCTTTAGCCGTTGATATTACTCAAAGGACGTAATTCCAATGTAATGGACCAACAACAACAACAACAAAACCCTATTCCCATATGTAATGGGATAAGGGGAGGTAGGGTAGTAGGCTGCCCCCAACTCCAGGTTGAGAGCAACTTCCGTGGAAGACCTCCGATAATTAGAAAATTAAAAATAAAGATAAAATACAATGCATGTATAAATAAATAAATAAATACATAGTTGAACAGTCTTCTTATGCAGTCTTCATATGCGCGTATGTAATGGGAAATATTCCCTGCAAATAAATCCTTGCGTAAAAAAAATTTTCTGCATATAGACAGAAAACGTAAGACCTGACTAAATTTAAAAAGAGGAAACATGAAGAGAATGATACACAGAAGTCATCGATAGCAAGCTATGAGAAGGAATAAAATCAAATGGATTAAAACCTAAACTAAGACAACACTAATCCACTACCTTAGTTCTAAGCCTTCATAGATTCTAATGACAGAAACATATAAATAGAAATCGTGGAAATTACTACAAAGGCATTAAAAAGAAGACAGAGATGCTACACCCTATGGCTGTGACCCACACAACTCGGCTATCATGGTCTTAAGTCTCCATAATTTCCTATCAGAGGTCATTTCCTCGGTAAGGGCTAAATCCTTCAAATCAGATCTCAAGCAGTCTACCCACTTCCT